TCCCCGCGTTTCAACAGCACAAGGCAAGAGAAATCTTTTGTTGAGCTTGGCCGCCGATACCTCGTCCCGGCAGAAGCTGATACGGAGTGAATTGCGATAGAGAACCGTATCTATTTATCCTTCGGAAGCCTGAGAGTTGGCGATGGTGGGGATGAGGATTAGAACGACGAGGAAACTCGTCAATCAAGCAGTGACTCGCCGACGGGAGATCGCTGGCGTGATGGAAGAGGTCAACTCCCCATTTAACGCTGAACGAAGCTGGAAGACAGTGCACACGACTTTGACCTGACCTCCGCAGCGTGTCCTCCAGCAACAATCGCCGACAACATTTCGGGTATCGTGGCAGCTAGCAGGTAACAGTGAATCGTTCCCTGAGAGTTTTCCTGGCTAGCGAGGCTGGAATTGCAAGGCACCATGAGTCGAGCTCGATAGTAGAGTGGAGCGATCGTGGGCCTCACTCATCGGCCCATGGCCATAGTGGAGCAGCCACCACCGTGGTCGACTTTGGCGTCAGCTGCCAGCCACCACGATCGAGACTGAGGCTCAGATTCGACAGCGGTGGGGCGTACAAGGGAGCAAGGGGTAAGTTGCTCCCAGCGAGCTCGAAGTACCTAGCTTGTAGGATATTCGGGATTGGCCTAGGATGTTGACGTCGTCGAGCTACTCAACGACTCGGTGGCTTCCCATTACGTACAGAGTACGTTACTTATGACATCCATGTATTTATTAGACGAGCGTCGACGACGTCGAGAGATTCATTCGTTTGAATCATTGAATGTGATGTGCGCAGTTTATAAAGTAAGGAATACAGTACAGTACGAATACAGTACGCCTCGACACAATCAGACGACGCGGTCATTACACCTGTCGCGACGACTGTACATAATCCAGTTATATGGTACCCAAAAACAGTTCAGCTCTGCGCAGCGGGGAGTCTAGACGCACCCATTGGAATACAGTACCCACCGGGTCCGGGTCACGTTAATAGGGCATGAGGCGGCCGATACGTATACAGAGATGCATAGAGCCTGACTTACTTAGGTCGAACAAAACACCTGAGATCGCAAAGTAGACTATCCTAGATGGTGATAGGATAGCATTTAGACGGCCTGTGGGGCACCGATAAGTGGTGAGTAGCAGTACGAGATGAGACGAGAGCTGTGGTTCAGGGATGGTGGCTTCGGCGTCACAACGACGTCGTTATCGAGTTCGCCACGAACTGGGTAGAATTTGGGGGACACTGTCGAGCAGGGACCGTATCATGATAATCTATAGTCAAGTTATCCGTGCTACAGGTCATGGCGCAAGCTAAGTACAGTAGGTTGACGGATCTCCCAATACCTCTAATCTGAGCTCTACTCGCGATCCGCGGCGTTCAACAGCCCACAGGTGCCGGTGACTCTCCGCACAAAGTTCTCGTTTCGGATCGTAGCAGCTACCTGAGCCGCCTTCAGCCTGCCAAGGACAACATGTGCCATATTATTAGAATGCACTAGAGCTGATAACCGCCTGGGAGTGTGTCGAAAGCTCAGGCCCGGATCAAGGCAACGCTGAGGCAGAGAGTACCTTACAAAACCTGAGCCTGGACTAACTGAAAGTAGACTTGTTAGACTCGATTCCGACTCATGCAGGTATGGCCATGGCTCCCGCTGCCGGGCGACGACCAGACGTGTACCTACCGGCGCGGATCTTCTCGTTGACAAAGTTGCTGGTCTAAACTCCGTTGTGACCTGTCCCCGGTTAGATTCGTGGGGTAACGCCGGCGGCGGGAACTTGACAAGCAACGTCGCGCTGGCCCTTGAAATGGGGATACAAAAATAGAACCTGGGGTTGGCACCGGTACAAGCGGAGGGAAAGGCTAACGGAACTGTAAAAGTATCAAATATCTCTGTAAATATACCGCACGGCGTAAGTACGTCTTACTCCAGTAGGTACAATGTCTCCCGTGGTACCGCCAGGGAGCTATGACACACAGATACTTATGTGGTTTGAGAAAGCACGATAACGAAGAGGCAGATGCACTCAATTCATCAACACCAAGCCAGGAACATCGTCCATTGATTGATCACCCTCATCACACTAACCTACCAACCACCATGTCCTCTTCAACTCAGCAACCCTCCTCCTCCTCCTCCTCCTCATCCTCCTCATCCGGCACGGACCAACTTCCTTACGCACCCCTCTACATCTCGAACACACCCATCCGCACGGCCGCCTCATTCACAGTAGCCAACCCACTCACCGCCCTCCCCGCAACACTCTCCGCCTCCGCCTCATCAGAAGACGTACTATCTGCCATCGACTCCTGCTCCGCTGCGTTCCCAGCGTGGGCAGCTTTACCCACTGCTACGCGACGCGACATCTTCCTGCGAGCTGCAGAGCTCTGTGCGACAGACCGATACAGAGACTTGATCGTGCGCGCGAACGTCGAGGAACTCGGCTGCGAGGAAGGATGGGGATTGTTTAATTGGAAGGTAGGTATGGAGAGTATCAAGTTCGCAGCGGGCTTGGACGTGGCGATGAAGGGGGAGTGGTGGAGGAGTGGGTCGATGGAGGGAGGTGAGGTGACGGTGCAGGTTAGGCCGTTAGGGGTTATGTGCGTATTACGCTTTCTTGCTTCTGGAGTTGGATAGGTTGGCTGACGGTGATGAATGGTTGCAGATATTCGATATCGCCGTGGAATGGGCCATTCGTGTTGTCGGTTCGGGGAATTGCGAACCCGATTATGTGTGGGAATACGGTGTTGCTGAAGAGCAGCGAGTATAGCCCTAGATCTCAGGCCGTTGGCACGTAGCGCCTTCTGTTAGTTTCTAATACTATGCATGCTGACTCTCTATCGCAGTCGCACAGCTATTCGCAGAGGTACATCGGGATCTTCATGCTCTAACAATTGGACCGCAACCTCACAAGACATGTAGGCTGGCCTCCCACCCGGCGTCCTCAACTTCATCTCGTCCTCCCGCGAGACAGCTCCAGAACTCAGCAACATAATCATCGCTCATCCTGCTATCAAGAAGATCACAGTACGTGCGTCTCTACTTGATTTCCAGATTTGTCTATACGTCTATGTCGCATCTACATGCATGGAACCACTCAGCATGGACACTGAGACTCATTGCGTCCGAAAGGATCATACCCTCCTTTCCTGCTTCCCACTGCCACGACTGACCAATATCTGACTCTATCTCTCTTCTCCCTGTCCGTCAGTTTTGCGGCAGCGATCGCGTAGGCAAACTCATCGCCGCCGAAGCTGCAAGATACCTCAAGCCATGTGTGTTCGAGCTGGGGGGTAAATCACCTGTCGTCGTAAGTTCCCAATTTCTTAAACTTCAGCGCGTCCATATCCGGTGTCACCCCCTCCAACGCGTTACATATCCCACCAACGCGTTACATATCCCACCAACGCGTTACATATCCCACCAACGCGTTACATATCCCACCAACGCGTTTCACCCCCTCTCATCCACCTATTTCTAACCCGTATCTCACCCATATCTAACACCCCACCCCACAGGTAATGGAAGACGCCGACCTCACCTCCGCCGCCCGCGCCATCGTCTTCTCCGCCCTCGCCAACGCAGGTCAAGTATGCATGGCTACCGAGCGAGTTATAGCGCATGAGAGTGTGTCCGGTGAGTTGTTGGGGTTGGTCAAGGGGTTGGTGGAGAAGATGGGTACGTTTGTTTGTCTACGTCTGGGAGCTTGGGAAATGCATCAAGGCTCATTTGTCTGCATGTTTGTATGGGTCTGATTAGATGCGAAAGGGAAGAAGAAGCAGCCCGTCCCGCTGTTCACGCCCCTCGCGGCGCAGAATGTGAAGGATCTTGTGCAGGAGGCAGTACATGGGGGTGCGACTCTCGAGACGGGCGATCTCAAGATTCATGGCGGTGACACCAACACCCAGGCAGCTGACGGTACTCAAACTGCAGCGGGCGGAGCAGTCATGAAGCCCCACGTCCTCCTTGGTGTTCGGCGGGAAGCGCGCATATGGAAGGAGGAGACGTTCGGTCCTGGTCAGTCTTTTGCTTCCTTCCATTCTTCTCCATACCATAGCTGACGATATGGTATGGGTTACAGTGCTGATCATCGTACCCTTCTCGACCGTCGACGAAGCGATTGAGCTGGCGAACGACACAAAGCACAGTTTGACCGCTGGGCTGTGGACGAGGAGTTTGGAGTATGCGAGGACGGTGGGGCCGAGGATACATTCTGGGTATGTGCACTCTTTCCCGGCCTCCCCCTTCTCTCCCCCTTGCCCTTGCTCCCTCTGCCCTTGCTTTCCGTCTGCCCTTGCTCTCCCTCTTCCCGCCCTTTCTCTCTCTCTGTACTTCCTCTCGCTCCTGATCCCAACCTTCCCTGAATCTGAAGCAATCCTAACGCCGTTTATCATCCCTAGATACGTAAATATCAACGGCCCAACGATCCACAGCGAGCTCAAGCGCGGGCTCGAAGGCCTCGGCGGCTCATCGGGGTACGGGTCGTTCGCGGTGGAGGAGTTCTTGGCGAGGAGGATGATGGTGTGGCATCCGGAGGGGAGGAGGGAGTATGCGATGTTTGGTGATGATGAGTGAGTACTAGGGACTGAAGTTAACAGGTAGTGTAAGGCTATGTGGTCAGTGGTGAAGCTGTTGTCGTATCATCATCGTAGTGTGCAATAAATTTGTCGATGATATGGATATGATCAGCAGCGACTGCAGTTCGTCGGACATCGCCGGATCTCTGATGTTCGCTAGGAAGTTGGTGGTCACTTGCTCAACTGCCCTGAATCTGAATTGTAGTTTGGCCCTCGAGTGGGTCGCTGTGCCGTGCATCTCTCTCAAGTGAAGTCCACCGTCTACCGTCCAGTATCTACCGTCCCGTCAGTCCAGGGACCAGACTCCACCAGGCTGGCAAAAGCTGAGGTTCCAGCCTCGGGGCCTCCTGAGTCTGGCCGCAAGATGGACGCGCTGCGACAGAGAAAAAACCATCGTCACCACCGTATCACGCTTCAAACCACTCATTGGACACATTGGGAATTGAACCCAACACCTTTCGCAAGCAAACAACGATGCAAAGCGAACGTGATAACCAACTACACCATGTGCCCGATAGGAAAGCATTTGAGGAGCAAAACTCGATATAATGGAAGACTTGAGGTCACACTTCAAAGAGGACTGTCGAGTTGTCCGCTAGGCGGCTGGAATTCTCGAGGGGAAGCGGACAGAGCGCGGGGAAGACATGACAGGAAACGTGCAGAAGCAGATATCCGCGATTCTGGAGAGAAGATAATAGTGTTTGAGCGCCAGAGAGAAGGTGCGTCGACGAGGTCCATTATGGTCGATAATGACTGGACTGCGACGATGCTGAAGGGAGAAGGCAACGGCAAGAAGGCAGAAAATGGGCACGAGCAGAAATAACAGTGACGACGAGAGAGATGTTCGAAACTCCAGAGGGCTCACAGACACGAGGGAGCGATAACGTCAATGGGAAGTGGATTACTCTGGGTCCGAGGATGTGTACGTGTAGACAAGATACGAGAAACAGCAGACAGGAACACGAAATCGAGCACAGGTACTCGCGCACCAATGCCGAGGTTGCAATGACACTGAAAACGAACCAAGAAGAAATGATGAAAGGCCCACCAAGGTTGCGTAGAGTCATACTCCCCCTCGCCGTGAAGCCCGATAAACGGCACAGTACCCTGAATCCAATCCACCTGGACTACCCTCCATCGCGACGCGGCTTGAGCGTAAAGCCTGCCGATGCGCTCCGGACGTTTGGAATAGGTGATAAATGTGGTTCCTGTAGGACTGATGTTTGGTGAAGTCGCGAGCGTGGGCGGAGACGGTAAGAAGCAGGCGGATAGTATGTGGGCGAGCGCTCGTCGGCATGCCCAATTGCAGTGTCCCACAGCGCCCCCTCTTTCGTACTTGATGCGTCTAGGTGTAACATATAGCTAGTCCATCACACCGAAATCGTCAGTGAGCAGGTAACGCGAGACACACAATGTGAGAAGAAACTCACAGCAAAACTGTCACTGGGCGGACTACTCTTTGCCGGATGGGGACTGCACGTCGTCGGTGTCTCCAAGATCCATTATCGAACAAGCCCTCAACTTGTCCCAACTGTCCATCCCTATGAACTCCGGTAGTTCTTCCCAAGTTGTTTTGAGTACTTGATCTCGAGTCTTGGCCGCAAGCGTCGCACAACCGGTACATAGGCCGAGAACGGCTTCGTGAGGATAGTCGAGCTCCTAATGTACTCGTCTGAGGCCACACGGACTTTGCTTTCGTATAAAGTCGCTATCAAAATAATGGGCCCAGGAAGGCAAAACTTCGTCGCAATCCGCTACCGCGGTACATGTTGGGTGACGGTGAGCCAACACCTTGATCAAGTTGTTGAAAAATATCCTGTTGTTGGAAGCGTTTGCCTGGATGACCCGAGCCCTGTTTCTCTCGTTGAGGAACCATGGGGTTCTGTCGGCTGGCTCGGTTTCCCGGCAGGCGCCGCCCAGATATCGCCAATTGCGAACACAGCGCAGCGATATGTGGCAATCGGGAAGAGAAGAGGGTAGTTCACTTGTTCCAATGTGGCCAGAACGACGAAGTCGTTTCCCTCTTATCGCTCCAGAGCTGCTTCCTAGTTGAATTCGTCTATAGACTGAGGTATGTACTTGGTAAGCTCCTATAGCATCTTGCGCCGCAGGAAGCCAACTTGGTACTTCGTCCCAAGCCGCAATAGGGCCGTCACTTCTGGTGTTGACCCTTGCTTGGGAGAGTCGCAGAATGCCCTTCAAGTCGACAGAATTAGCACAAAGAAACGTCACCAGGGTATAGCTGCACCGTGCTTACCTCCAGTCGTGTATGGCTTCAAGGAAATCTTGTAGATCCTGGGGACTGTCTTTCACAGTGGGAACCTGAAAGGGAGAAGAAGAGGCGTGGACCGTGGTGTATATGTGTGATGAAAGTGGGACGACAGAAGCGAGCGCACAACTCGAGGGAATGGTTGAGTGCCACCGCGGTGCTTCTTGACCACAGCCTTTTTGACCTCTCACTCAATAAACCTACGTTATCTGCTCATCTTATGCTTCCACGACCTCCATCCAGCTCAAGCACTTGCCAAACGGTGTCTACTGGACTTGCTCAGATGCGCGTCAAGATTTCTTGGGGCGACTCGGGTCTTAGAAGTGACCGGCGACGTGTTTTTGCTCGGTTGGCGGTGTTGCCTGGCGACCTCGCGAGGAGCCAATACGCTGCAGGAACTGCCGACGAAATCACGATATATACCGTTCATTTGCGGTAAGGGTGCTGTGTTCTATGTGGTGCTCCAGACACAAGGAGGCGGCGAGTCTCCACCTCGCCGATTGGCATTAACGAGAACCCTACCGAGGGTCCTACCATCCTAGCCTACTTAAGGCGGTAAGCACCAAGCTTCGTTCTAGATCTCATTGACTAACACTACCCTACCTCCTTGCAAGAATGCAGCCTATCACCAAACTATTCATTAACGGCCAGGAAACACCCTGTATCTCAGGAAAACAGTTCCCCGTACGTTTACTGTGCTTCGCCTTCGCAACATTCTTCTCACACTTACACGTTCTTCTTCCTTCACTAGTTAATCGACCCAAGCACCGGAAAGGAGTGGATCAAAGTCGACGAGGCTGATAAAGAAGGTGCGTCGCTACTGCTTTCCAATGTCGCCAACCCATACTTATACTGTTCTCTCCCGGATACACAGACGTAGAGGTTGCCGTCAATTACGCCGAGAAAGCATGGCCAGCCTGGAATGCCCAGCCCGCCGTCGTCAAGGCCGCAACCATGCGCAAGTTGGGTGAGGTCACCCTGAAGTACGCGAATGAGCTAAGCGAGCTTGAGTGCAAGACTATGGGAAAGTACGTTCACGCTGCTTAATGGCGTTTTGATCGTGACTCATAAGAAATGGCAGGACTATCGCAACCGCGCGTGCGGAGATGCAGATGATCCCAATGTTCTGCAACTTCATGGCATCGTTGGTCGAGATTTCGGTGTCCACCGCGTCGACGAACATGCCGGGTCACCTCAACTATACCTTGAACCAGCCTTACGGAGTCACTGCTGGTGCGCTTATCCTTTCGTCGTCTTTCTCACATGATGACTGATCTCTCTTACGAATAGGTATCCTGCCTTGGAACGGTCAGCGCAACTTTTGACGAATCATTAGACTGAACTGATTAGGGTCGGATTCCAACCATAGGTCCACTTATTACGTTCCTCACCAAAGGTGCGACCGCTTCCTGTACTGTTTCTGCGTTCATTCCTAACTCGAGCACCTTAGTTCTGCCCGCTGTTGGCGCTGGGAATGCGATCATCGTCAAGTCGTCGGAGAAGGCACCAATTACCGTGAGTCATGATTCGCCTCGGTCTCCGGTCAAAACAACGCTGATAGTATGATGCAGCCTCTCGTCATGGGCAGGATATGCATCGAAGCGGGCTTCCCTCCAGGTCTCATCCAAGTTTTGTCAGGGTTTGGACCGACTGTCGGTGCAGCTCTTGCATTGGTGAGTATCCAATTGCCGCGTCCGTTCCTGAGTAGCAATCAATTTCCTTGGCTTGGTAGCATATGCGAATCCGCAAGATTTCTTTCACCGGGTCCGTGGCCACTGGCAAGCTCGTACAGCAGATGTCGGCTCAGTCGAACTTGAAGGCGGTGACTCTGGAACTGTTAGTACCCTGTCTTCCATCTCTACCTAGCTCTCCCTCTTATGATTCTTCTGTAGCGGTGGAAAATCTCCTGTCATCATTTTCCCCGACGCCGACATCCCCAAGGCTGCCCAAGCATGTGCGGTTTCGATCTTACAGAACACAGGCCAGATTGTGCGTAATCCTCCTCGCCGACCTTTTACTAGGCATCTTGACTCAAACCCTATCTTCTTACAGTGCATCGCGAGCTCCAGAATCTACGTCCATTACTCGATTCGCGACGAGTTCCTTTCTGCCTATCAGTCTACCATCAAGGCCATGTCCCAGACCACCGGCAGCGCACTCGACGAGAACACAACTCACGGACCCCAAGTCGACCAGATTCAGCACGACAAGATCAAGCAGTACCTCGAGATCGGGAAGGGAGAGGGAAAGGTCTTGTTCGGTGGTGATGCGCCCTGTATGCCTGTGAGATCCTTCCTGTTTGCTCTTGTCGGTGCTCTCACTCACACTGCGTTCCTTTGAAAGGGCTATTTCATCAATCCCACCGTCTTCACGGATGTGCCGGATACGGCGAGGATCTCGAGAGAGGAGATCTTCGGCCCTGTGTCGGTGGTGAACACGTTTGAGACGGAGGAAGAGGCGATAAGGCGTGCGAACGATTCGGAGGTGAGTTCATTTCGATTTCCTAAACCAATCATGTATCTGACCACCTTCCGTTCACTCAGTTCGGTCTCTACGCCGCTGTCTTCAGCAAGAACATTGACAGGGCGCTGCGCGTCGCTTCTGCTTTGGAGTCCGGCGCTGTAGGCGTGAACTGCACCAGTCCCAGTACGTCACTATCTCCCGTTTTGTGACAGGAACGCGGGCGCTCATCTAGCTTACTCTTTTCATCTAGCGGCGGCGCTCGACCAGCCATTTGGCGGATACAAACAGTGAGTGCACATACTGCTCATGTCCGCTGCTGAGCGATCTCACGAATGACTCTCTGCAGGTCCGGTCTTGGTCGCGAGTTTGGTGTCAACGCGCTGTCGTATTGGAAAGAGGTTAGTCTGAATTTGTGGCTTCGGACAAATGGCTAGTCACTGATGCGTCTGCATAGACGAAGAGTGTGTTTGTCAAGCTCGAATCGGAGTGAACTTGTGAGACTGTTCGAGAAAAGTGTACGGGCTGAATCCATTTGTATTTGTACACAATGTTTTGCCCAAGTTTGAGTGTATGATAACGCTATCCTCGTTCTCGTTCTTCTCACTTGGCACTCTTGGTGATCTATGTATGATGGTCGTCGTTGAATCCTTAGAAGCGCTGGAAATACTGGCCGATGGTTGATGCAGGCGCGACACGACCTAAAGCGACTGGCCTCCGGGTTCTTCCCAGGCGATCACACATTGAGACAGGCCTCGCGACAAAGGCCAGGTGTTGAGGCCAG